AAGCCCCTAAACCCTACTTGGAGGATCATGGGACTTGGTAAGTATGGGTATAAGTGCCTTAATTGGGGTTCTAAGCAGTTATGAGCATAGTTACCCCAATAATAACCTTAGTTGCTAAGACCCATGATCCCTTAAGTAGACCCTAAACCCTAAACCCTAAACTCTAAACCCTAAACCCTAAACCCTAAACCCTAAACCCTAAACCCTAAACCCTACCGCTTTCTGCAGTCTTGGTGACTTGATGATGTAAGCATCCCGGACGGTGTTGTACTTGGCGCGACCCTTGGCCTGGCTTTGCGGCTCCTTTTTGAGCTTCCTGGGGTTTAGGGTTCAGGGTTTAGGCCTGTTGCAGGGTTTAGGGTTCAGGGTTTAGGGTTGTAGGGTTCTTCCTGTTGCAGGGTTTAGGGTTTAGGGTTTAAAGTTCAGGGTTTAGGACCTGTTGTAGGGTTCTTCCTGTTGCAGGGTTTAGGGTTTAGGGTTTAGGGTTTAAGGTTTAGGGTTTAGGCTTTAAGGCCTGTTGTTCCTGTTGCAGGGTTACCCAGAGGGTGCATGTACACCACCATCATGGAATAAGTCCAAAAAGACCATCCTTACTACGGTTTTCGGTGACATACTTCCATAATTTCGTGGTGTACGTATATGGACCCTCTGGGTTAGGGTTTAGGGTTTAGCCTCTCTCGCGCTTGGAGTTTACAGCTTGGGGCTTGGGCTTTACTCTGCTCAGGGGCTTCCTGAAATGTGGGGTCACTAGTAAGTACCTATACTATTTTCTTGAGGGGGTTCCTTATTATAATTATAGTATACTGGGCCCCACAAGCCCTATTCTAATCATAAAGGCCTCTATATTTCGGTTGACGGTCCTGCGGTGCAGGAGCTGGGGGTGTTAGCACTTATAGGGCTGGGCTTTTCAAGTCTGGTGGGTTCAGATTTGAAAGCTTTTATAGGGTGTCAGAAAGGGGTCTAGGGTTTAGGGTTTAGGGTTTAGGGTTCAGGGTTTAGGGTTTAGGGTTTAGGGGACGCCGCGGGCACTGCGTCCTCATGCCTAAAGCTGAGAGGGTTGAGTCTTGATATCAGATTAAGCCCCTACATC